CTCCATTATTTAAAAAGAAAATAAGGACTATTTTATGGAAATCTGCTAGGAATATTGTCTGTTGAGGGCCTACTAGGATTCTGGGATGGGTAATCACTAGGGAACCAGAAGGAGAGAGGGCTAAAGATACATATGGACATGGAAAACTCAGGACAGATGGGGAGAAAGGAGCACAGAGCAGGTCTGCCTGCATAGACCTGAGCCAGGGAAGGAGAGGACACCATGTTAACAGTGTCAGCTCTAAGTAGAGAGTAACAATTTCTTCTTTTCACTTTAGTGTATTTTATAAGTTGCCTGCAATGAAGAGTAATTTTTTTAATCTAAAAATGTTATTAAATAAAAGCACTAGGCCATGTGTGAGTGGGCATACAGGTGTGCTGAGGACATCCAGGCAGGGAGGTGATGGGGCCCTCCTGGAGTAGGGGCCTGGAAGGGGAATTAGGGACAGGCAGGTATGTGTGAGCAGATGGAAGTGCATGTGTCACAGTGAGCAGGGATGGAGGAGGGGTGAGGTCAGACTTTGGAGGGCTTTGTGGGACAGTGTGAGCCTTTAGCCATGGTCAGGAATCCAGGGCCAGAGGCGTCTAGGCAGAGAGGCCGGAGAGGACCCAGGTACCTGCAGAAGCCCACAGGCAAGTGGGGGCTCCTGGGTGTGGGGTGGGGAATGGTGATGGGAATGGAGGGGTGCAGAGGGTTCCTCTGAGGAGTGGTTGGGGAGTGGCCAGGGTGGCACGTTATCTGTACCCAGACCCTCCCTGGTTGCCTCTCGGGCTGTGGTCTCAGGGGTGGGCCTTGGAAGTGAGGAAAGGGAAGAGCAAGGAGGGGAGCAGGAAGGCTGGAGCAACCAGGAGCCGGGCGCATGGGGATGGGGGCAGTACTATGTACAAAGGGGTTCAGGCCAGAACAGGCCTCACGCTGCAGGTGCTTGGGAGCCGCCCACCTGTGGACTCAGCGTTCCTTGTATTTGGCATGATGAACTGCCATCCACAGTTCTGGTGGGCTGACATCAGGGTGTCTGAGAATACCTCCTCTCAGAGGCCAGCAGAGCAGTGGGCAGTCCTTCAGCACCCCTGGGGAAGGGCTCTTAGCCAAGGGCTAGCTGATTTCTTCTTGGGGGAATCCAGCAGACCTCAGAGAGTGGGCACAGGAAGCTGTGGGAGTCAGGAGGTCTCCTCTAGCTCTGAGACTTTCAAATCACTGGGAACCAGCAATGGCCCATTCTCCTGCTCAGGCCACAGCTGTCAAGCACCCCAGTAGCCTGGCCACATGCTCACTTCCCAGACTGCTGAAAATGGAGCTCACAGGTTCCAAGAAAAACTTTCCTACTTATTCAGCTTTCCAACTGACAAATCTTTTCAGCTGGGAGATCTTTAGTTTCCCCCGAGAACGGCCTTTCACAGCCCCTTTGGCACCCACAGCCACTGTCCTCCTGTTCCCAGGCCTGTCGTTCTTTTAACCTTCAGCTGCACAGAGATGGGAGAAGGCAGAAAAAGGGCTTTTTATAACCAAATTATCTCTGTGCATTCATCTGCCATTATGTTAATGCATCGCGAAGCCCGGCAGATGGTACAAAGTCAATTATGCTGGTGTTAAAAAGGGAGAAATTGACCTTTTCAAGACTCACTTGGATCCCAGAGCAGAGTTTGCAAACTCAGGTTTCAGGCCTGGCATGTGGGTGAAGGTACAAAGCACTTCAGAGTAGGGAGAGGGATGGGATCTGGGGGTCAGTCTGGAGTTCTGGCCTCTCCTACCTGCACATCCTCTCAAAGAGGCCAGCATAGCCATCACAGTTGGTCTTCTGGGTCCGCAGGATGTCAGTGGGTTTGAAGGCCTGGCGGTCCTTCTCCTGGGCAGCTGCAATGTCATACTCTGGAGGGCAGAGGAGGAGGTCATGAGGAACCAGGGTCTGGGAGGTGGTGAGACCAGTATGGGGAGATGGAGGATCCACCCCTGCCCCAGGAAACCATGGAGGACTGAATGGAAGCAGGGCCCTGGCCCAAGTAAGACCTGGCAATTGTCACTTCTTTGTGCAAGTGGCAAGAGGAAGAGAAGCCCTAGGCAGAGCAGGCCACCTGGCCCTTCAGACCTCTGAGGAGAAACTGGGAAGGGAAGGGACCAAGACAGCACGGGTGCAGGGCTGCCTCTGCTTGTCCCCGCTTCACAGCTCTGCACACAGTTCCAGTGAAACTGTGCAGGTGCCCTAAGACAAGGCCTCATGCTGGCCTAGAGGGCATATGGAGCTCATCCCCAAGTAGAGAAGGCTGCTCTCCCATGGCCTGTCCCTTTACTAACAAGGGAATGTGGGGACTAGGGAGAGAGCCTGAGGCCTGTGGTGAGGCCCTGAGACTGGAGTGACTAGCCATTTGATGCCCAAAGGGATTGTGTGTGTGTATGTGTGCATGCGCACACCCATGTGTGTCAGTGTGGGCTTGGGAGCAGTAAACCAGGTCCGACCATGTTCTGTGTCTTATCCTGTCCCTTTAAGGTACAGGTGCAGCAAGTGGCCCTGGGCACTATTCAGACCTCCCACCTGTGCCAGGTGAGCTCATCCTCTAAGGCTGCCTCCCCAGCTGCTGCTCTAGAAGGACAAAGAAATCGCCCAATAGCTGATCTTTATCAAAGGACTAGCAGTGCACCCCAAACGTGGTCCTCCATCCCCTCATTTGTGTTTGTAAGGCAGCAAGGGACAGCATCCCCTTAGCAATCACCTCTGTGGCTTGGCTTGACCTGGTGAGCTTCCTACAGCTGTCCTGTGGAGAGCTGAGGGCAGCTGTGTCGACCCATGTCCTCTAGGTGGCTCTGAGAACCCTGGAGACTGGGCTGGCACCTGAGGCAGAGGTCACCAGTGTGGCAGCAGGAAGAAGAGTGCCCACCCTTCCTGGCGCTGGCACTTAATGAAACCTCTGCAGTAGCAACAACTTCTCAGACAGCAACTTCCCTTCAACTAATGTCTGTCCTCCTTAGAGATGCCCTTCTGTCCTGGGCTCTCATCTTTGTGAAGCAGATTTACTCTGAAGCCAGAACTAAGGGAAGGCTTCTGCTTGGTGCCCCAGCTCTGGACACTGTCTATGGGCCGAGGGCCATAGGGATCCCCCACTCTCTGAACAGCCTTCATGGAGACTGTTAGCACATGGTAAGTTTGATCTTTCTTGGTTGGTCTTTGGTTACTGGGTCGAGCCATCTGCACCCCTCCCCTACCTTCCACTTCCCTGTAGGGGCCCACAGGAAGTGGCAGCAGGGGGCTCTAGAGCCAGCTGCATCACAGGGGGGCCTACCTATGTGATGGCAGATCCAGATCCAGATGGCACGGACCCTTTCCAGGTCAGTGTGGGCCTCCTGAAGCAGGTCACTCACCAGCTCATCCAGGCCGCTCTTGGCCATCACCTGGGGAGCAGGAAGGGTGTGCTGAATCAGGGCCTAGGGAGGGTTTGTGAGGAGCCCAGCACCCTACACCTGCAGCTATCCCTCCTCCAGTCAGAGAAGCTGGAGGACAGACCCAGAGTGATGAAGGGTGGCTCAAGGCAAACTGGGAGGAGGAGGGGGTGGCACAGGGCAAGTGGTCCTGACCAGCTGAATTGTGGGCCCTAGAACCACCACAACTTTTCTCCATAGATCCTGGGGCCAGTAAAGTGGGCATCTGGGTGGCCGTAGCAGCCCCTAGTCATGGTCAATACTACCAAAAACAATCTGTACAATTAATACAACCTTATCAGAACTCCAATAGCTTTTTTTGCTGAAATGGAAAAGCCAGTCCTTAAATTACTATGGATTTACAAGATGTTCCCAATTGCCATAACAATTTTGAAAAATGGAAAAACACAGTTGAAGGACTCATTTTCCAATTTCAAAACTTTTCATAAAGCTATAGTAATCAAAAAAGTTTGGTACTGTCATAAGGATCACATAGACCAATGGAACAGAGTTGAGTTCAGAAATAGACTCATACATCTACAGCCAACTGATTTTTCACAAAGGTGCCACGTTCATTCATTGTGTACAGAATGGTCACCAATGACCCAAATTTAAGAGATTAAACCATAAAACTCTTAGAAGAAAACATTAAGGTAACTCTTCATGACCTTGTTGGTACCAGACCCCAATTTGGTGCCCTCAATACCCACCTCCAGGGTACTCAGGGTTGCCTGAAAAGACCCTTCACTTGGATTTGGCAATAAATTCTTAGATATGACAACAAAGGCACAAGCAACAAAAGAAAAAAATAGAAAACTAGAGATCATTAAAATAAAAAATTTTTGTGCATTAAAGGATATTATTAAGAAAGCAGAAAGACATCTGACAGAAGGGAGAAGTTGTGTATCTGACAGAGGTTAAATGACAGAATATATTAAGAACTCCTACAAGTCAACAACAATAAGACAATTCAATTCAAAAACCAGCAAAGGACTTGAATAGATATTTTTTCAAGGAGGATACATACATGGCCAATAAGCACATGAAAAAAATGTTCAAAATTGCCTGTAGTACCAGCTACTCAGGAGGCTGAGGCAAGAGAATCACTTGAGCCCAAGAGTCTGAGGTTGCTGTAATCTGTGATGCCATGACATTCTAACAGTGGCGACAAAGTGAGACTGTCTCAAAAAAAATAATGCTCAAAATTATCAGTCATGCATGAGAAGAATGCAAATCAAAACCACAATGAGATACCATTTCATACCTACTAGGATGGCTATTAAAAAATAAAATCAGAAAATAACAAGTGTTGGCAAGAATGTTGAGAAATTGGGACCCTTGTACATTGCTGGTGGAAAGGTCAAATGGTGCAGTTGCTATGGACAACACTTGGGCAGTTACTTAAAAAGTTAAATGTAGAATTACCATATGATTCAGCAATCCCACTCCTTGGTACATACCCCCCAGAAATGAAAGCCAGAGGCTCAAACAGATATTGGTACTGTCATAAGGATCACACAGACCAATGGAATAGAGTTGAGTTCAAATGTTAATAGAGTTAATGTCCAAATGAATAGAGCTGAGAACAAATGTTCGCTGCAGCAATATTCACCATGGCCAAAGGGTGGAAATAATTGAAGCATCCACTCATGGATGGGCGGATAAACAAAATATGATCTAAACATACAATGGAATATTTTTTAACCTTACAAAGGAGAAATTAAGCTCTACACATACTACAACATGGATGAACCTTGAAAATATGATACTGAGTGAAATAAGCCAAACACAAAAGGACAAATACTGTATGATTTCACTTAAATGAAATATTGGCACCTGTGGCTCAATCGGCTAAGGCGCCAGCCACATACACCTAAGGTGGCGGGTTCGAATCCCCAGCC